GGGCCCCGCCCCCAGCTCCAACTTCGGGCCAATCAGCGGCTGGAGCGCAGCCACCCCAACAAAGTTCCCCAAGTCCCAGCTTAACCCTTTGGGGGCCGAGCGCACCTGCCCCCCCCCCCCGCCAGCGCCCCCGCTAACAGCTCAGCGGAGCCGGGCACTGGGGGGAAACCCCAAAGATTTGGACCCAAGTTTTGGTTTCCCGGCCGCGGTTCTGGACGAAGTGTCCCCATTTCCCGGGGGGGGGGGACGGCCCTTTCCGCCCCCCTGGCGTGGAGCAGCCCTAGGGACGCTGCTGGGCTGGGCTCCAACTTTTTTGCTGTGACTCGCTTTGAAAATATTCCAGGCTGTGACGACCCCCCTCCCTTTCTCATGCCACCCTCACTTCTGCGCTGCTGCTGGCCACGGCGCTGCCTTCAGAGCTGGGTGCTGGGCCAGCAGCCGCTGCTCTCGCAACCCCCCTACCAGGGCGGCTCTATGTTTTTTGCCACCCCAAGCACGGCCGTCAGGCGGCCTTCGGTGGCGCGCCTGCGGGTGGTCCGCTGGTCACGGAGATTCGGCAGCGTTTCTGCAGGTGAGCTGCCAGTCCCGCGCCTTCCATGTATCCCCTGAATTGCCGCCGAAGCCGCGGGACCGGCAGACCTCCCGCAGGCATGCCGCCGAAGGCCGCCTGACTGCCACCCTCACAGCGACACCCCCCCCCCCCGACTTGCCGCCCCTGGCACACGCTTGCTGCGCTGGTGCCTGGAGCCACCTCTGCCCCCTACAATAGTCTTGTGACACCCTTTTGGGTCAGGCCCCCAGTTTGAGAAAGGCTGCACTCACTGCATGAAGGATAAGACCAGAGCGGAGTCCTGGGGTCACCTAGGCCAGAGCCACGCCAGGGCTTTCCCCTTCCCCGCCTCCAGTCCTGGGTGAACCAGAGCAGAGCCCTGGGATTAACCTGCCAGGGATGGAAATCGCCCCAGCCCAGTGGTTATGGTCTGGCAGCTTAGGTCTAGTCTGAATTTGGCTGATTTCTACTCCCAGCCGTTGGAGCTCTCGGTAATCCCGTTTGTCCCCCCCAGGCCGGGCCTTCCCTCTCATAAGCTACCCAGGGTGACCCCTGGAGCCCGGCCAGATCAGACCCCTAGTCTAACCCTTTACCAGGCTGGGGGCTCCGCTCTGCCCCCTCACCAGCTCATCAGCGTCCTTAGATTGTGGGCCCCTGGCTTCCAGCAGTGCCCAGGGGGGAGGTAAAATCACCTCCCTACGACGACCCCAGCTACCCTAGGCCTGCATCAAGGACCCCACTAGACCTCTCTCCCCTCCCCATGCTGGAACGAGAGCCCAGGCAGCCTGACTTCCAGTGGCCCCCCGCTTAGTCAAACCTTCCCCTTATCTCGGGGAAGCGAATCATTTCAAGATCTCACCAAAGGGGGCCTGTCGTGGGGCCTCCTCTAAGATCAGTGGGGGCAGCTCCCAGTTGGGCTGTTGGGGGGAGCGGAAGGGCAGAGCCGGTCCTAACCACTGCGTTTGGGGAAGTCCCTTCAGAGACAGCTCGGGCACTTTTCCAAAGCCCCAGCTGGGCTTGGCAAGGAGCCTCAGTCTGCGAAAGCCAGCCCGCTCCACAGACCCCATTGTACGGCCCCGGCAACCCCCCCCCTTGGCAGCATAGCCGGGGAGGCCCCAGATGGACCTGTCCTCCCTGAGCTCTCCCCACCCCATCTCCTCGCTGAGCTGTCCAGGTGCACTCACCTTGCAGCCCTGGGACCCCCCTGCCGGGCCCAGTCTGCCCAGCTCCTGGCCACGCAGCACCCCCCCCCGACCCCCCCAGCATTCTGCCAGGTGAGCAGGAAACATCCCCAGCAATGCAGCCTCAGCTCCCCATGGCAGGGTCAGGCCGTGGTCCCTGCCCCAGGGGCACAGGCCCTGCCACCCCTCTCCCCTGGGGGCTGCATCTCAGACCCAAGGCCTCCCCCTGCCCCCGTGCTGACAGGTGACTCCCCAGAGCCCGCTGTAGTCCTGGTGCAAGGGCCAGAGCCGCTGCGAGTGCCCCCCGCTCTAAGCAGCGCCCGCCCCAGCCTGGTTACGCTGCCCTCCCAGCAGCGCCTCCCCCGGCTGGGTCTAGTCACATAGCCAGGCCAATGCCACAGCCCCTGTGGCAATAAAAGGTAAGTGGATCCATGCGGCCAGGCAGCACAAGAGAAACTTTGTTCTGTGTTGGGGGGGGGACGGGGGGGGCGGTGCCAGCGCTGAGTGGTTCTGGCACACACAGTGCAAGGAACAGCAGCCTTTGTGCTCGCTACCTGGGCTGGCGCGGGGGAGAAGCCGGGACTCAGGCCCTAGGGCCAGTGCCATGGGACGGAGCCGGGCACAGGGCCACGGGACATACTACCACCAGCCCCCCACCCCCTTGGCGCAGTCCTGCCCATCGAGCGACACCTGGCAGCATGGACCAGCAGCGACCGCACCAGGCTGAGCTGGGGGCGAGATGCCAGAGCCATGCTCCGGGGCTGGTCCTGGCTGCACAGCGTGAGGGGGGATGGGAACTGCTGGGGCGGGGGGAGTGATGCCAACACACCCCAGCAGCACCCCCAGGGGGGCGTCCATAGCTCTTACCTATGGGGGCCACCCCCCTGCAGGGCGCTGGGGAAACGGATGGGCGAGCTTGAGGGGGCATGGAGAGTCTGCCCCCAATGGGGAAGGTACCCAGAGGCAGAGGGGGCCCCCCATGCCTGCCACCGAGGGGGAAGGGTTCCCCCTTAGGAATAGAGACACCCCCACCCCCAGGGATCCCCAAACTCGCCCCTCCCAGGCTGCCTGGCTCTGTGCCTGGCTGGAGCTTGAGCCGCCGCGCCACCTAGTGGAGCATCGGGGTAACCGCCGGGGGAATTTCGGGGTCTTGGCTCCAGCAAGCAGCAGGGCCCAACCCCAGCCCCCCAGGCAGGTCAATGGCACCAGTTCAGAGGGCTCCCCCCGCTGCCCTCCCCCCACGGGAGGAGGCAATAGAATTCATCCTGGGCCTGGCCCTTCCCGCTGCGCCCAACGCCCCATGCAGGGGGGAGGGCTACGCACTAACCCTGCACACGGCCCTGCCCCAGGGCACCCAGCCTGGCACTCAGGGAGGGGCTGGACTCGCTCCAGCTCTGGGAAGAGGGGAGTAGGCAGGAACCCAGGGTTTATGCCCAGCTCTGGGAGGGGAATCTACTGGGTTTGGGCAGGGGAAGGTCAATGGCAAACGGGGAGTGGGCTTGGCAGCCCCCCGAGCCACCCACCTCTGAGCCACTGGTGCCTGGGCCACACACACGCCCCAGCCAGAACAAAGCACGTCCGGCTCCCCTCCCATGCCATGCTGGGGGGGCACAGAACCTCCTTTCCCCCTGGCAACCCAACCCCATCCTGGAGACCCCCAGCAGAGCATGCCCGGGGGGAGGCTGGGAGTCAGGACTCCTGGGTTCTGGCCCTGGGAGTAGATCAGACCTGGGCTTTGCTCCCTGCTGGGCCCTGGTGGCGGGGCAGTTCTCCAGGGTGGGGATGGCAGCGTGAGGCTCTGGACTGGGGTCCTGGTCTGGCCCTTCAAAGCTGCTGCCCTGCAGTGCCCCAAGGCTGAGGGGAATCCCCCTGAAGCCTCCATTAGGCCACATGGAGAAGGGATCTGAGCCCCCTGGAGGGCTCCTGGCGTCACGAGAGTGCCGCATGCCCCCCGAGGGAGAGCTGGCCCCAGGATGGGCAGAGTCTGGGGCACTGCCCAGGGTGTGGCCAGCACTACATGCCAGTCCCAGGGGCACAGAGAATTCACGTTGGAGTGGAAGGAGTTAACTCAGGCAGCTCCCAGCCCCTTTATTAGACAGTTTGCAGATAATCTAAAGCGGGTTCAGAAGCAGCCAGCGCCCCAGAGGAAGGGGGAGCCCCCTACCAGGGAGTCCCTCCCACCCCAGCCAGGCAGCGTCCCAGCGAATGGCTCTGGTGGTGCCGAATCTCCCAGGACAAGCTCCGGCACGCACCCACTCTCACCCGTGCTCCCTGCCCAGACGCAGCCGCTCCCCTGGGGTGCGCCCAGCCACACCCAGTGTTTGGAGCCCCCAGCACCCAAGGCCTCTCGGGGCCCAGTTCCCAGGGCAGGGGATTGGCAGGTCCAGCCGAGGGGATGGCGCCCTGGCAGAGTGTGGGCAGAAGAGGGGCTTTGGGCAAATACACTCTGCTGCGGATGCTGTTCCTGGGTAACAGGCCAAGACTCCTGCAGCCCAAGGCTAGTTCCGATCCGGCTCCGCAGCGTCCCCGAGCTGGCGGGCGTCTCCGTGGGGGAGGGGGAGGAGCCCAGAGAGATCCCAGCGCTCGGGAACTTCCAGAGTCAGCAACGGAGGCGGCATGGGGGGGGCCATGCCAGCGACGGGGGCCCAGTAACCCTGAGTCCAACAGGCAGCGAGGGAGGGGAAGTTCCAGAGCCCGGGCAGCCCACACGCAGGCAGCGGTATCCATCTCACGCTAGGTGTACTGGAGATGCCCAGCGGGGGGCGGGGGAGCTGGCCTGGGGGAGAGAGGAAATGTGAAACAGGTAAGTAATGGGGGCAGGGGTCTGCCTTAGTCACCCCCCCCCCCAGTGTCC